AATGGTAGAGGAGGAAAGTTAGATGGCCACTGGAATGTTGTAAGTAAGAAGGAAGGAGGTGTCAGATTCAGAAAATGAAAAGATGGGGAAAGATAGGGCCAAAAAGTGATCCTGACACATCAAAAGGTGAGCAAGTCTGCAACCAGGTAAACCTAAAAAGATAAACTGTTACTTCTTCCCCCAAGTAGCTAGGCAAAGCAGACCAGGACTCTCGGGTTAGTGCAAGGAGTGAAACAGCTATGTTCATTGAAAATCTACTGTGCGTCAGAGACAGTATTCAGTGCATTACGTACTTTATCTCATTTAAGTCTCTACGCCAAGCCATTCCAAGAGTTGTGCTTTATGATCACCAACTGACAGTGAAAAAATACAGATTCACAGAAGTAAGATGACTCACCTATGCTTAGAGAAGAGGGAGTAAAGAGGATTAATAACCAAGAGATATTAAGTAGAATAGGATCTATTTGCTGGACACTGGGCAACAATGGCCAACAGAGAAACTGTCCCTGCTGCTATAGTCAAACACAGACCTAACTCGGAAGCTCTTCCCTTTCTTCCTTCTGCTCCTGCTTCCACTCACAAAGGAAGTCCCTGGTCTGAATTGGTTAATAGCATTTGACTATTGTCAGGTTATGCCTACACTGAGGATACTAAGCTTAATTTTTATTTTTTAAAAATCATTATTACTTGGCTGAAAAGTGTTTTCATTTTTTCTTTTAAAAGGTTGATAATCACAGGAAACTACATTACTTTGTGCTCAACGGCTCATTATTTATATTTCAAGCAAGGAAGTCTGGTAACAACTCTCAGATTGATGTAAAGAAGCATTTACGTCAAAACTCGGGCTGTCTCACTCTTGCAGTACTTCCTTTCCTGAATCAAAGCAATTTTGATTCAGAATAATCCACCAGATGTCAAAGTACAAAGTATCAAAGTCTAATTTATAGGAAGGTATTTAATTAACTTAGATTACACTAGAAAGAAAAATCCATCAATAATTTGCATATTTTTTATATCCAGGATATTAAGAATTGAAATATACATGGAATTCTATGGCAATTAGAAAACATTGCCTCATCCACTTAATAAATATTTATTAAGCACTAAGCCTGAAGCAACATTATAAGCACAGTGAGAGATACAGAAATTACTAAAGCCGGATACTGTTTCCAGGTGTTTCAGTGTGGTAGAGCATAAGACACAAGGGAAACAAACATTAATTCTAGTTTAGGGCATGTGGTTGTTGGAAGACAATTCTCCATAGGTCTCTTGTATTTTTGCACATATTGTGAGTGAGGCACTGACTGTCCTTTGTTCTAAACTCTCTTTTCAAGGATATTTCTATAACAAACAGCTCTGGAACACAGAGTGATGTCTCTTCTAGGTGTAAAAGGCAGTTTTGCTCACAATCCTGGAAGATACGATGTCTCTTTACAGAGCAAAGGTAGGCATGCTCACAGTCTAGTATAATAATGTGTCCTTCCAGAACAACAACAACAACAACAAAACAGACATGTTTCCTAACCATTATATACAAGCTTTGGGTTTCTTGAACTCAGTGCTCCTCTCTGGTAAGGCAGTCCATTTTGTGTGCCATAAGGGAAACTGGCCCTCTTCATGTCATCTGTGGGAACAGAAGCTCAGGGAATAGGTGCAAATAAGCTGAGAGTCATAGACTCCTGTTGCTGTGAGTCATAACCTGTCCTCCGTCTCTGACTTTGGAGTCTCATGTCTTCTACCAGCATCTAAGAAACTGTGTTAGGCTAACTTGCTGGCTTGTTAAACCAGTTAATCTCAGTCTTAACAATCCTTGAAAGCAGGAGGTTGCAAAAATGGCAACAAATTCATTCCCTTTCTGCATCTCTGCCCTTTGGTATACCTCTTACACTGACTCTAGGCTCAGCCATGTAACTTCCTTGGCCAATGGGACATCAGAAAACATGACACAAATAGAAGACAGAAAAGTACCTATACATTGAGGAATGCCTGGGTGGCTCAGTCGTTAAGCAACTGCCTTCAGCTCAGGGCATGATCCCAGGGTCCTGGGATCAAGACCTTCATCGGGCTCTCTGCTCAGTGGGAAGCCTGCTTCTCCCTCTCTCACTCCCTCTGTTTGTGTTCCCTCTCTCACTGGTCTCTCTGTCTAATAAATAAATAAAATCTTTAAAAAGAGAGAGAGAGAGAGAGAGAAAGAAAAGTACCTATACATTGAGGCTTACCCTCTTGCTGGCTGTTTTTAGAATTTAGTTGTCAAGTGAAAAAGCACAGCCTAGCTTATTTGTGAGAAATATGTGCTCAGTGTCCCCTACCACCTCAGCCAAGAGCCTCACAATCACAAGACATGTGAACAAGGCCAATTCAGGTCATCCAACCTCCAGCCAACAGTCCAGTTAACTGCTGATGTGAGAATGAATCCAGCATTGATGAGTAGAGCTGACTGACGGAGGAACTATTCAGCGTCTAGGTTTTGAAGTGGTTTGTTATGTGACAAAATTTAACAAAAGGGGCAGAGGACAAGGCAAAAACTACTTTTGGTACAATATCTGTATTAAAAATGCCACAGGGCTCAGCATACATCTGGTTAAATACTGTAACTCCAGCACTCAACACTGTGCCTAGAAAAGAGCTGGAGGTACCAACTGTTCCAGCTTTGTTTTGGTTTCTCCATCCGAACACTCACTATAAAAGCCACTTAATTTTCATCTCACAGGCAGGCTGTGAGCTTACAGGAACTGTGTGTGAACCTAGCAGGGCACATGGTGAAAGGGCAAAAGCATAATTCGTGCTCCAGGAAACATGTTCCTGTGTGCGAAAAGCAATTCTTTCACCTAAGATCTGACAATCATTTCACCTAATGATCTTGGGTGGATCATTTAAACATATTGAACTTCAGGGGGTGTCTGGGTGGTTCAGTCGTTTAAGCATCTGCCTTTCGCCGTCATGATCCCAGGTTCCTGGGATTGATCCCTGAGTCTGGGCTCCCTGCTCCGTGGGGAGTCTGCTTCTCTCTCTCCCTCTGCCTGCAGCTCTCCTGGCTTGTGTGCTCTCTCTCTCTCTCCCTTGGTCAAGTAAATGCATAAAATCTTCAAAAACAAAAACATATTGTGCTTCAGTTTCCTTATCTGCATCATGGGAATAATAACGCTATCTTCAGGAGCTTTGTGCCACAGGTGTTATAAAGGAGGTACTCTCTCAGAGTATCGTGGTGAGGGGTATCGTGGTGAGAGAGACGAAAGCCGGGAGTAGCATCAAACACTGTTAAAGGCCAACAACTGATAGGCTCTTACTCACATGCTTTCTCTCTCACATACACACAGGCACAAAATCAAACCATTTCCCAAAGTTAAATTAAAAAGCTAACCAGCAGAGGCTAAGTAACAGCAGGACTACATTATGGTCTATAGGAAAACAAAACTTAGTATATTATATTATTATATAAAGTGTCTGTGTTATATAGAACACCACAGAGTACGTTGTTTGAAAGTCCCCTGAATTATATATAACCTTTCTGGAAGATGAATGCCTGACAAAGTGTGAGTGTAGAAAACGAAACATTGTGTCAATGCACCTTAAAGGTCACTTTTCAGATATTCTGCTTCATTTCTGCAGTTGAAGATTAAATCCCTACTCTTTATTTATAGACATTTTAACTACTTCCCTCTTGATCCTCTACAGTATTAGATTTCATCATATTTAAAACACTTTAAAAAAAGACTTTCTTTTATGATTTGGCATCTTTGAAAATTCTGTTTAACTGACGGTTGGCAACTGAGTGTAGTTGATAATATCTCTTAGACATCAAAACCAAGATTATTATTGGAATTATACAAATCAAACTAACAAATTACTCATGGGCCTAAGTTGGTTTTCTGGAGCATTTTAAGACCTTGGTAAGAGAAATTTTTTTTTTTAAATCACAATTAATTTTTATTCTCATTTATATGAGCTTTGTATAAAAAGTTCTTTTTCTACCACTTAAATCACAGTAAGTACTAAATAAATGACATTTAGCTAGCTATAACCATCCTGTCTATTTTGGTCTTTGAAACAGCCATAAACATGTAAAGACACGAATGGAGCTAGAGACTACAATGTTAAGTGAAATAAGTCAGTCGGAGAAAGACAAATACCATATGATTTCACTCATATGGGGAACATAAGAAATAAGGAAGTGATCAGGGGGAGGGGGAGAAAAAGAGACAAAACAAGAAACAAACTCTTAACTATTGAGAACAAACCTACTGGTCACCAGAGGGGAGGTGGGTGAGAGATGGGTGAAACGGGTGATGGGGATTAAGGAGGGCACTTGTGATGGGTACCAGGTGTTGTATGAAAATGTTGAATTCCTAGACTGTATGCCTGAAAATAATATTACACTGTATGCTAACTGTACTGGAATTAAAATGAAATAAAATAAAATAAAGCAACAAACATATCACCATTATCTCATTAGCCACTGAAAATCAAGCTCTGAAGTTCTACTGAACAAGACCACATGCCTTCAGCAACACACTTATCAACCATAAAAGGCCATTAGGCCAATTGTATCTCTCTCTCTGGAGCAAATTGTTGGAAAGCACTAAGACAAGAACATGCACAGAAAATAAAAAGTCAAACACCACATGTATTTATCGGCATTTTAAATTTTTAACAAACTGTTCTACAGATGGTCCTTCTGGTCCTAAATCCAGAAACATCCCCTCCCCCAGTTCACACCCCCATCATGGGGCACTACTACACCACACTGCCTTACTGTGGGACGATATCCAACAGCCCTCGGCTCAGATGCAAAGTCTGCTCTCCACTGGAGGAGACATCCAGGGGGCCAGCCTCCGGGAGGATCGCACCAGAACCCCAATCTCATTCTGCCCCAGAAGGGTCCCCAACATCACAGGTGTGGGGACGGCTATCAAACTGACTGGTAGTTGCATGCTACTTCGGGAAACTTTGTCATCCTTCTTGTGTCGGCATCATAAGAGAAACAAACTACCCCTGCTTACCCGGAAATAGTCGCTGCATGCTGCTAGGACTGCCTTGTGAGCATGGAATTTCTGTTCCTCAGCAATTAGGGTGATGTCGCAGAGGATGCCGTCACTTCTCTGCTGATTCAGCGCGGCCAGGACGCTATCATTGTGAGATTCCGAGTGGCAGAGCCTCTGGCCCGTCAGCATTTCTTGAATACTACGGAAGAGAGCAATCACATCAACATGCTTCCTCTCGCCAGCTCCTGCCGCCCCCTGCGACCTCGCACCTCCAGCGCCAGTGTGGGGGCTGCGGATCCCAGCTCACCACAGGAAAGGGACCTTCTTGTCCCACTTCCTTCTCTCTACTCTACTCTTCTCTGGCCTTCCTTTTCTCTAATTCTCTCTTTTCCTCACCTCCTCAGGTGCCTTTCTCTTTCCTACTAGTGCCTGTCTTTCTGAATCTATGTTTTGGTGTGTGTCCATCTGTGTCTGTGTATTGGCCCGTGTCTGTGGGCCTGTGCTTCTGGGCCTCTGTCCCCTCAAAACATATATATCTCTGAGGGCAGAGCTTTCTCTGGATGTGTATCTGGACATGCGTACCTATGTGACTCTCTCTTTTCTATGACTCCCCCCATCAACTCTCTAATTCCTTCCCTAGCTTTGTACCACCTGTGTGAGGTTCGTGCCAGCTCAGAACATCATCACCACCATGCACTGATCTAGCATAGAATCCACATGACCTATAAGACTCACTAGACATAAAGGAAGTTGTCTGCCCACAGATGACAATACTACATTAATATATAATGTATTAACAGAAATACACAAAACAATACTGAGTAAATGTTGGTTATGGAAGAAAGGGCTGCCATTGACCATTCTGTGTAAAAGACAATTATTTAAACCACGACAGATGATTACTAAACTTGGGAAATTAGGTACCACAGGAGAACATCAAGAGAAATGTCATGGTAAATGAAAAAAAAAAAAATCTAAGGCTGAAAGTAAAATATATCTATATTATAGCCTTCAATCTCTGCATGTGGCCATTGTACTATATTTAGGGAAGACTAAACAATTTTATTTTCTGTTCTGTTTTTTGAAATTGCTAAATTTACTCATTGTGGAAATTTAGCCCTTCACTCCTGAGCCCATTTTAAAATAGTCATCCTATGTCCTTTTAGAACTCCTAAGTGAAACTCCGGATCTTGCCAGAATAATGTGGAAGTGATGCCATAACACATAGCGCACACTGAATGTGTAGATAGCGATGAACAACTTTAGCCTACATCTATGTATAGTCTCCATAGCTCTAAAATCTCAGAACTGGCATCAGACCAGGAGGGGTGAGCAGCACCGGTCACAAGTTACTCCCAGAATGAGAACAAGGGCCATCAAGCCCTGTTTCTGACCTCTGGACTCTTCTCAGAGCTGAGGGAAGTACCACAGGGATGACTGAGCATCGTGTCTCCTATCCTGACAACTCCAGCACCCAGTTCTTCCCTCTCAGTGTGAAAGAGCCGCTCACGGGAGCCAGGGAGTCCCCACTGGCCTAGTGTACTTGGTTAGTTTATTGAACAAAGCTCTGCCCAGCCACTGGTGCCAGTTGGCTGGTGAACTGCCCTTTAACCCAGACCACCACCTTACAGTGAACCAAACACTTCCCATGAAACCCAGAGTACAGGCCCATAAGCTTTACTGGACATCTCTGACTGGGAGCCTCAGAAATGTCAGAATTACTGAAAGAAGTAAAAAAAAAAAAAAAACTTGACAGGAGGTGATGATATAGGAAGTTCTCGTGGGAAGGTGGGAGGATTATTTTCAGTTGAAATGCAGCAGTGAGTTTTGAAATGGTTACTGTCATCGAATATTCATCTAGCGGCTCCAGCTACCGACAGACATTTAAAATCAGTAACTGAAAAGCACATTCAGAAGCATAAATAACTTTTTAATACAAATTTCTATGCAAAGCCTGGAATGCAGCTTAATTAGCCTCCCTCAATTAAAGAAATAAGGAAATAGAAAAGTAACAGAAATATCATATCTAAAGGAAAAGGAAATATCATATCTAAAGCTAAAGGAAAGCTTTAGGATAGTTTTTGAAGAATCTTTCTTAAAAGGATGACATTTTTATATATTTCACAAACAACTTCCCATGTTCCATGAAGCATTCTTAGTGATTTATAATTATTAATTCACTTAATCATCCTAACAACCCTGTGAGGCAGGCACTATTCTTATCTCTGTTCTACAGATAAGAAAACCAAAGGTCCAAGATCAGGCATTTTGAGAACCTGTCGCCAAGAACACAATAATGTAATTCCCCTTCCTGCTTTAAAAAAAAAAAAAGAAAGAAAGAAAGAAAGGAAAAAAAACACAGTGATAAACTGTGAAGAAGATCTCAAAAATCTCTGACTGCCAGGGACGGGGAGGAAATCACAAAGTCCATATTAACTTCATATTTACAGTATGCACAGTTATCCCAAATCAAAGCTGCCTTTTAAAAAGAATATACATGAAGATAATAACATGAGATAGTGATAAGTAAGATCTGAAATCAGGCTTCAAAAATACGTATCTTTGCACTGGAACTAAGATAAGTTTGAATATAGATAACCAGATTCTAATTATTACTCATTTCTTTGAAATACTTATTGCAAATTTATTTGAAACACTCATTACTTTTCTCTTTTAATATCACCTTAAAAGTGAAATAAATGTATTTTAAAATTTCATTTTTAGTGGAACAATAGAATCTGTTAAAATAATTGCCTTAAATTGTTTCCTTACTCATTTTCCAAATATAGTGCCACAATTCGTGTTCTTATTATCAAGATTGAATCAGTATCTGCATTTCAGTTATCTATTGACAAGGAATAAATCTCACCAGGGAAAGAGCAGCTGTAAACTGAAATTTGGCAAGGAATAAAGGGCTCAGCTCTGAAACAATGGTGATGCCGCACGATTTCACAGGATCATTCTGCTGGGCTTGAAATAGTCAAGCTTCAAGAAAACAACATGCTAAATATTTAAGGCAACACTTGGCACAAGATCCCAAATATTTTGGAACCAATATGTTAGGAATCTTTAAAAGCAGGAACAAATACTCCAACATTTGGCAAGAAATAAAGGTCGATTAATCAACAAGTCTTTATTGTATTCTGGAAGTAACTTCCCACTCAACTCTCAGATATAAATCTGCAAAAGACTTCAACCCTCTAAATGTTAAAGCATGTGTGACCACGGCACACAGCTGGAAAGTGGCAGGCCCATCTCATGAGAGCAATGATTGTAAATGAGGGAGGAGGTGAATCAGAGACTATAAAGGACTGTGTCTAAATTAAGAGTAGGGGCAGATACATGCTTGCAAATGGCCCTGTTGACATCTATAATTTATAACAAATCAGCACACTCAACTTTCCAACAATGTCCCTCCATTATTTGGAAAGCAATGAAGAAAAAATGAAAAAGATATCCCTAAAACTTCCTAAGCTACTGAAAACAAAACAAAACAAACAACAAACATGAAACATGAAGCACATTACCCCAGGGTATACAGATTTGAATGTCGTCCTAAAATTGGGAAAGATCATCCGGGGAAACAATGTTGCCACCTTAAAACTCACCGGTAAGTGCAGAAGGTGACCTGGCTTCCCCAGGACAACCCTAATAGTCTTTCCTCTCAGGAATCCCCTAGAATTACACTGTGCAATACAATAGCCGCTAGTTACAGCAGGTTATTGGCAACTTGAAATGTGGGTAGTGCAAACTGAGATGTGTTGTAAGCATACAATGCATGCCCTCATGCACTCCATGTCAGACATAGTATGAAAAAAGAATGCAAAATATATTGCAAAATATATGCACAATATATTGATTCCATGGTAATATAAAAATATTTGGGTATACTGGTTAAATAAACTATATAGTTAAATTTATTTCACCTGTTTCCTTATACTGTTTTTAAATGTAACTACTTGAGAATTTTTCATTATATAAATATATGTTCACATTATGGTCGTATCAGACAGTATACAAGTTCCCAGGGGGATCTGTCCCTCATCCCTTTCCACCTGAACTCTAATAAGGGCTTGGGGTATCCCATCAGGCTGCCGAGGAGCATGGCTGTTCCTGTGGCTCACAGGACACAGCCTCTGTGGGTACAACAGGGGAAGCCCCAGACTCTCGGAGCAGCAGATTGTCTTTTCTGGACGCCAGAGAGCATTTGATTGGCCATATGTCAGCATTCAGTAACAGGGAAATAAATAAATGAGTTCTCAGGGAACAGGACTATTCATGACCTCAAGTCTTTAACTTTCATTCTGGAATTGACGGCAAAAACCGAGAAATCAAATGCAGAGCACGATGTTCATAACGTGGTACAACCAACTCTGAGGGAAGCTCTGCCAGAGTGCAAATCACTACTTCTAGGCTCTAGAGTTAACGTTTTGATCACAGAAATCTCACAGGGTCTCATTTACATAAAGAAAATTTTGACTGAATTTAGTCAGTTTTCAAGATGGAAATTCCAAAACAGCTATCTGGTTTTTAAACATCTGCATTTCAGATTTTAAATTTCAAGTCAGGGATACCTGGGTGGCTCAGTCATTAAGCGTCTGCCTTCGGCTCATGTCATGATCCCAGGGTTCTGGGATCCAGCCCCACATCCGGCTCCCCGCTCAACGGGAAGCCTACCTCTCCCTCCCTACTCCCCCTGCTTGTGTTCTCCCTCTCGCTGTCTCTGTCAAGTAAATAAATAAAATCATTTAAAAAGAGAGAGAGAGAGAGAGAGAGAGAGAGAACAAGAGAATAGTCAAGTTTCATTCATCTGTATATAACTGTTCAATTTTCCCAACACCATTTATTGAAGAGACTGTCTTTTTTCCATTGGACATTCTTTCCTGTTTTGTCAAAGATTAGTTGACCATAGACTTGAGGGTCCATATCTGGGCTCTCTACTCTGTTCCACTGGTCTATGTGTCTGCTTTTATGTCAGTACCATGCTGTCTTAGTGATCACAGCTTTATAATAGAGCTTGAAATCAGGCAACGTGAGGCCCCCAGCTTTGTTTTCCCTTTTCAACATTTCCATACAAATTTTAGGATTGTTTGTTCCAGCACTCTGAAAAATGTCATTGGTATTTTGATGAGGATGGCACTAAAAGTATAGATTGCTCTGGGCAGTGCAGACATTTTGACAATGTTTATTCTTCCAATC